CAAGTATACTTAACATAAAATTAAAGGAATAAAACAGGGAAGGAACTATGGTGAGTGAAGCATCAAGCAGTGACTTGAGTTCATGAACTGATTTGAGGAGAAGTTGAGGTACATACCTGGAGCTGGAATAGCAGGATCAGGATTTGAAGTCGAACCAGGAATAGCACATGTTTTTGATCCACTAGATTGATTTGGACAATAACAAGTTGTTTGATTAGTGCCATAGTCAATACCACAAACTCCTGAAGACCTGTTACATTCCCTGCAAGCCTCTCCATCGACCTTCCATCTTACTTCGAATCCTTCTTTCAAGCTTTGTTCCAAATCTGGCATTATAACGACTGGTGACAAATCTGTAATAGAAATTGGCACAAAGACACTACCATAGCATTCCCCAGGACCAGTAGCTCCCGCTTGGATATAACCACTTTGATTATTTACCGCGTTTATTTTGCAAGTGAATAGTCCAGGAACAGGCATGGCTGTAGGAGCAGCCATGCAACCATAAATAAATGTAAGATTTGTGTAACCCTCAACAGACTCGAAAACCTTCGGATTGAAGGTGCTGTTCACGAATTGAGGCGGACAGAATCCAACCAAGGAGTCCTCTCTTGCAATCCTGAGAATTCCATCATCCTGATTGATGTCCAGAACACGATACGCAACCTGATTAATCTTCATCTTGGCGATATTATTCTCACACTTGAGCTCCAATTCAGGAAGGCCACAGGCAGGCGGCCTGCCAGTTCCCCAGAAAGGAAAATCCGCGGAAATATTCCCACACACAAACTTATTACTACAGTCAGCGAACAGGGCACTATTGCCGACAGATGAAGGAACCTGAACGAAGAGCAACAATACAATAACAAAAACCGAAGGGGAAGGAGATAGCGAAAAAAGTGGGCAGTTCATTTTGGCAAAGTGGAAGCAGTACAGGAGAAATTGAATTGTGTAATTAGTAAAGCGAGCGTGGTTGTTCCGGGAAATTTAGAGGATAAAGAAAGAGTAGCGAAATGATAGCCATCAAAATTAGGAAAATAAATACTTCAGAAGCTAGATGCACTACTTACAATAATGAATGCTTAGTTGACTTGAAAGTCTTCTCGGTGTGTGTGTATTTCAAAGGTCATGCACAGTAATCTCCACCACAATCTCCACCACGCGCTTTCATCTGCCAAACGAAGTCTATGTACTGTACATCACTCATAAAACAAACAGAACATAGTTGGTCATGTTGGGCAATTTCAGAAATTAAATACACCAATATATGTGATTCAACAATTTGTTTATTATACAAAGTTATTGGTTTATATTAATCAATCAAAGAAATTAGTTTATATTAATTAATAAAAAAACAATATAAATAAAAAGAAGAAGAAAATATTTTTCTCTACTCAACTCACTCTCATTCAATCTCTCTCTATCTTTTTCGCTCTGTTCTCTCCAACGCTTAGCTCTTCATTAAGTGTGTGTGTGCTTGTATTAAGAGATTAGTTATTTTCACCGGTATATGATGGAGGTGGAATATTATTTGTTTCCATTTTACTAACAACCTCCAACTTGAAGACAAACAATGAAATTATCTTTTATCCTTGAAAACCAATAGAAGTTTTACACAACTTCAATATATCAAATGTAACTCATTTGGCTAACATGTCAGCTGGATTCTTACTTTCACAGATATTTTCTAGCGTTAGTTGCTCATCGTCTAGCAATTGTCGAATGAAGTGATATTTGATTTGAATATGTTTAGTTCTGGAGTGAAATGCTGGATTCTTAGTAAGGAAGATTACACTCTGACTATCGCTATATACAATATCCTTTCCATTCATCTTGTCCAATTCTTTTAGGAAACTCTGTAACCAAACTATCTCTTTTGCAGATTTTGATACTGCAACATATTCAGCTTTTGTTGTTGAAAGAGTGACGATCTTTTGCAAGGTAGAACTCCAAGAAACGACAATGCCTCCTAGAGTGTATATATATCTTGTAATGCTCTTTCTGCTATCAATATCTCTTACTAGATTAGCATCTACAAAACTTTCAAGTTTCAAATCACCAGCTATGAAGGTAAAACAAGTTTCCGATGAACCTTTTAAGTATCTCATGATCCATTTTACAGCATCTCAATGCTGTTTTCCAGGATTGCTCATATATCGACTTACAACTCTCACTACATGGACAATGTCTAGTCTGGTACAGACCATAACATATATCAAAGAATCGATAACTGAGGCGTATAGAATCTTATCTATGTGTCCACATTCTACCTCAGTTTTTGGTGACTGGTCTTTGTTGAGCTTGAAATGATTCTCTAGTAGTGTACCTACTAGTTTAGCATTATCCATATTAAACCTGCCGAGAACCTTCTTGACAAACTCTGTTTGTGAAAGCTTTAGTATGCCTTTATCTTTGTTAATGATGATTCTCATGCCAAGTATTTGTTTAGCAGCTTCTAGATCCTTCATTTCAAACTGTTTTGACAACTATTGTTTCAACTTGTCAATCTATTTAATGTTGTATCCTATAATAAACACATCATTTACATATAATAATAGAATGATGTAAGAGTTGTTAAAATATTTGACATAGCAACAATGATCAGGTTGGCATTTTATGTACCTCAAACTGCACATGAAATTGTCAAACTTCTTATAGCACTGTTTTGGAGCTTGCTTTAAACTGTATAGGCTTTTCTTTAGCTTGCAGACTTGGTTTTCCTTTCTTTGTATTGCAAACCCTTCTGGTTGTTGCATATAAATGTCTTCCTCCAAGTCACCATGAAGAAATGTTGTTTTTTCATCTAGTTGTTCAAGATGTAAATTTTTTACAACTATTATCCCCAGAACAACTCTGATTATTATATGCTTCACAACTAGAGAAAATATCTCAAAGTAGTATATTTTTTTTTTGTTGAAACCCTTTTACAACAAGTCTTGCTTTGAACCATTTGCTTTCATCATGCTCAATCTTTATTTTGTAAATTCACTTGTTTTGCAAAGCTTTCTTTCCTTCAGGTAGTGTGCTTAGCTCCCAAGTCTTGTTCTTCAATAAAGAATTCATCTCATCCTTCATAGTTAACTCCCACTTGCTTGAGTTTTTATCTTATAATGATTCTTTATAAGTTTGTGATTCACCACTATCTGTCTACAAAATATAATTCAGTAAAAATATGAACCGTTGTGGAGGCTTTGCAGTCCTTAAAGACCTGTGAACATAAACAATAGGTTCACTTAGCTCTGTATCTTCCGTGTAGTAGTGGGTACAAATGCTTGAATCTTTTTGTAAAGGTTGTTGATTTTTGTTATACTCGTTAACATCAAGAAGCCCTTCTAATCTTATGAATTTAGATTTTCATGGACTTGTATTTGAATCAGTCATATATGTTTTTACATTTGATCTATCTTTGTACAAAAACTTTCTTATTAAAAATCACGTTCCTGCTTCTGATAATCTTTCTATTCTGATCATCCCAAAACCGAAATCCAAATTCTTCATCTCTATAGCCAATGAAGAAACATTTTTTGGATTTGACATTTAGCTTATTACGAGTATCAAAATCTATATGAACATCAAAAACAAACCCAAAGACCTTTAGATAAGAGAATTGTACTTATTTTCCTCTCCATACTTCCTCAGGCAATCTAAATTTCAAAGGAACTGATGTTCCACAGTTGATCAAATAAACTACAGCATGAACCGCGTCAATCTAAAATATTTGAGGTAATCCTAAATGCAAGCTCATGCTTCTAGCTCGTTTATTGATGGTCCTATTCATTTGTTTAGCAATGCGATTCTGTTGTGATGTGCCTGGAACGATCATTTCCATTCTGATACCATTTATAACGTAATACTCTTTAAAACCTCCATCAACATATTTTCTTCCATTATCAGATCTCAAGCATTCCAGCTTTAAACCTAATTCGGTTACAACTATAACCTTTCATTTCTTGAATGCTTCAAACACATCAGATTTATTTTTCAGAAAGTAAACCCATACCTTTCTGCTGAAATCGTCAATGAAAGTCACATAATGCTGAAAACTTCTAAGAGATGCACTAGAGAGGTCCCTATAAATCTATGTGTACCGATTCTAGCTTTTTTGGTCTTAAGGTCTTGTCAACCTTTAAGAAACTGAGCTTCTTCTGTTTTTCAAGAATACAACTTTCATAAATGTCTATATCAATATATATATTTTTTTAATTCTTATAGCTTTTCCTTTGACTGAAGTATCTTCATCCCCTTTTAACTTACATGGCTGAATCTACAGTGCTATAGTTGTGCCTGATTTTATGCTTTAACAGAGGCAATAATGCTTGTAAATCTTGTGGTCATATATAAGGTGCTGGTTTTCTTTCCATGAGTCAAAACCATTGCCCCCTTCAATACTTTCCATATACCTCTAGAAAAAAAGATTGAATGACCACTATCGTCAAGCTGTCCAATGAAGATTAATTTCTTCTTTAATTTAGGAACATGTCTTACATTTTGTAAGTTCTATATAAATTTATTCATTGTCTTGATTTGCACATCTTTTATGCCTATAACATTCATTAGTTGTCCATCGGCTAGATAGAGTACATCATGATCTCCAGCAATATAGTTTTGTATCATTTCGTGGTGTGGTGTATGTCATAAACCAATTCTAGGTTATTCTCCAATTTTGACCCATGTTTTGATAACTTTTTAGAAAAATCCAAAAAAAAGAGAAAAAACAATGAAAATCCAAAAAATACATTTTTAAATATACTTGCCTTATTTTTAGCATTTTCAACATCCTCTAAAAAAAATTTAATTTTCAAAGATATTTGGAACGCGTTTAGTTTTTAGCGCATTATTTTTAAAATTATTGATTTTTTTCATTGAGTCGTTATTAATATTACTTGTTTTAAAAAATACAAAAAAATAAAAAAAATCAAAATTTATAAAAAGCTGAGGATCAATTTTAAGATCAGGTAATATTTTATATATAAATAGCAGCCTTCAACACAAACAAAAAAGAGGTAATTTTGGCAAATAAAAGAGGGGGAAGAGAAACGGTTTCACACCCAGCCGCTGCCGCCCCCCAGAGAATTTTTTCTTCTCTGCATGCAGCCCCCCAAAGGCCTTTATTTTTCTGACCCGGCTAGTTCCGCCATTTCCTTCCCCTCTTCATCGCTTCCCCCTCTCTTTGAAACCAGCCACACACCAGCCGCTCCCCTCCCGGTCATCTTCATCTTCCTCAAACCACCTTCCTCCTTTCATCAGATTTCCTTTCTTCCCGCCAGCCAAGGGCTGAGCTCCCTCCGCTTAAATACAGCTGCCTCTCCCACACAGCCGTCCCTCTCCTCTCACAACCCGGTCTGATTTTCCTACATCTCATCCCCCTTGGCTTCGATTTTTCAGCTCCATGCCGTCTCCATCACCCTTCTCCCCACAGACCACAACCAAGACCGCTGTATCCTCCTCAGCCACGACTTCTCCCCTGCTCCAAGACCGATGTTCTTCCCACTCCTAGCCGACCCAGCTTCAATAGTGCCCACGGACCAGCCTCCAACAGCTCTCGATCCCTGTCATCTTCCTCTCTCAGCCGATCCATTAGTCTCCCTCTCCAGGTCAACGAACAGACCCGACCATAGCAGCCGGCCACAGACCCACAGTCTCCACCTCCAGCCAGCTCCACCCGGCAGACCACGTAGAACTCGCCAAATCTGTTACCAGCAGGAAGAAGGATTAGTTAGCCGAGAAGAAGAAAGAGGACAAAGGTTCACAGATCTAAAAAAGGAAAAAAAATCCAAGAATGGATCTGGATTAAACAGACCTGTTTGTTGTGTTTTTGTTTGTTCTTGCAGGTTATCACTGGTGAGGAAAGGAAGGGGAGAAGAGGCTGTTACAGACCTTGTTTCTTCTAGTTTGTTTTCGCGGTGGCGCGTGAATTCATGCGTCGCCAGTGGCAGTGGCAGTGGCACGTGGAGGATACGCACCACCGCTGTTTTAGCCAAAAGAAAACCTTCTGCCACTGTTCCGGTGGATCCTAGAGGATGCTCCCAGCAATTCCTGGAGTCTGCCACTGTTCTGGTGGATCCTAAAGGATGCTCCCTGCAATTCCTGGTGTTTTGGGATTCTATTGTGTAATTTTTGAATTGTATTTGATTTATTATGAGTTTTTTTTTTATATGCAAAAGGTGTAAAAGAAAAAGAGATGTGTGTGTGTGTTCGTTATAAAAAAATGGAAAAGAAGAAAAGCTGAAGGAGATTTCAAAAACAAATGAAAAGTGAAAAATTAAAATCAACTGCTTGGGTTGTTTTGCAGGTCACCGCCGGCGTAGGAAGACATAGAAGAGGAAGAGGTTTCCGATCCACTGGATTCAGTCATCTTTATTAGCGGCGGCGAGTTGTGCAACACGCCGCCACTGTTTTCTCCGTAAACCACAACTAAGACCATTGTCTCCTCCTTAGCCACAGCTTCTCCTCTTCTCCAAGACCGTTGTTCTTTCCACTCCTAGCCGACCCAGCAGTGCCCACGGACCAGCCTCCAACAGCTCTCGATCCTTGTCATCTTCCTCTCTCAACTAACCCATTAGTCTCCCTCTCCGGGTCAACGAACAGACCTGACCATAGCAGCCAGCCACAGACCCACAGTCTCCACCTCCAACCTTTGTCATTTTCCTGTGTTCATGACATGCTTTTGTCATTTCATGCAAATAACACATTGAGTATAAAACCATTGCACCAAGATTTTTTGAATGCGTTTTCCTTTTTTTCTAAAACAATGCATGATCTCACATATTCACTAAGATTTTTTGGGAATTCAAAGTTTAGTACAAGAATAAAAATCATGTTGGTGTTTGTCCGAAACAAACAAGTTCTGAAAATTCAGGTGATTCCTTAGAAAGGTAACCATATACATTGAAAATCCAAAAAAAAAACCGAAAAAATACCATGAAGTGAATCTAAAACTGAGTTTTGATTGCATGAATAATGAGAAATCACTTTTGCATACTCACATGAAAGCAAGGCTTACTGATTCTAAATGCATGCATTTGAGATGAAGAAAGACCATCTTTTAGAATCCTTTCGCAAGGCTGAAATATATTCTTTGAAGTCCCCTTTTGAGCCTAATGCATTTTTATTGAAATAACCTTGATTAAGATCACACCCTATATTGGGGGGTAAGTGCTAAAAAATCCTTAATGATTGAAAGTGCCCAAATAGCTCTTGGAGACATGAAAAAGTCCTCAATGATTGAAAGTGCCTACTGGGGGGTATAAAAGAAAATTTTCAATCATCAAAGGTGCCCATACAAAGCTGAGGGCATAAAGAAAAATCCAAAGGATCAAAAAATTCTGAGCATAAAAAAAAGAAATCAATGCAGTGATGCTCAAAACCAAATGAAGAAAACAAAAACAAAAAGAAAGAGCCTAAGCCCAACACTAGGGGCACCGTGGACCATTTTGCAAATCAATTCCAAGGTCCAGAAATGTATGAACAAAAAGTTTGGGATATAAGCACTAATGATCCTTAGTCTTAAAGTCCCTTAAACACCTTTTGAGCCTACAAATATCCTTTTCTTTATAACCAATAGCCCAAGTCTACATTACGTGCCTTATCAAGCCCTTTCTGATCAAAGGCAAGCAATCTGGATCGGTAGGCAATGCTTTCTCATGCAAACCAAATCATTATTCATGCAAATAAAATAAATGCTTTGAACACGGTTCTCAATAACCCTCAAATTGAAATTTAAACCTTTTGTGACCAACCAGATGTCACTTCGTGTTTGCATTTTCACCAAAAATCAAAACAAAAAGTTTTCATCACTTCTGAAAATCTCTCCATAGGAATCACTTGAATTTCTTCAGAATGAGTTTGCTTTGAATTGATGTTAAAATGATTTCTGTGTCTGAAATAACTTTGAAATTCCAAAAATTTTACATGAAAACAACTCCTTGTCAAAGGTCAAACCTTCTACATAGCCTTATCCCTAAACCCAAATTAGACACTTGGGGGGTATGATCAAGCTAGGGGGCAATCAAAAACGCCTGGTAGGGCTGGCTCCATGATTTCCTTTTTTAAGAAGAACGCCAAGTAAAATTGGCAACCATTAAGATAAAGGGTGGAGGACAAAGAAGCATAATGACATCAAGTCCTTCCTAGAGGTTAAAATCAAGATTTGACTTGAGTAAGCAAGAGTGGAAGAGCCATTGAAGTCTACTGCTAACACTCCAACTTTTGAGAAAAGAAAGACACCATGAAGAAATGGGGACCTATATTTCTCAAGTAAGTATACATGCATATTGATCATAATGCATTGTTTTCAACATTGTCAGATCGGTTTTACCATATCTTAGGTAACGTATTTTCTAACCCTACCCCATTTTGAGTGAGTCTTTGTACCCTCATTTCCTTTTATGTGCTCTTTTGAGCTATCATCTCTCGGGTAGCGTGTTTTCTAACCCTACCTCATTTTGAGTGTGCCTTTGTGCCCTCACTTCCTTTCATGTGCTCTTTTGAGCCACTATCTCACTGTTCACGTGCACTATTCACGCTGTCCTAGAAGGGCTTCCCGGTACTGTTATGGAATTTTGAGGGGTTATTTTATAATTTTCAAATTGTTTAATGTAATATTTGTTTAGTTTGAATTTTTATTTGTATTTTGTAAAAAAAAAAAACAAAAAGAAGAAAAGGAAAAGAAAAGAAAAATACAGGGAAAGTGCATGTGTGTGTTTGTATTTGTTTTATGAATGTTTCTTTTTATTTATGATAAAATTATAGAGAATAAAGAAGGATTTAATATTTTTATTGGATCACGATGTAGAAGTACAAACTTGTACGAAGTTGTATTTCTAAAATCCGATGAAAAGACAAAATTTTTAAAACTTCTTTAACACATCACAGCCACGAAGTAGCTTCTAATACCTTTCCTAACCACAATCAGTCCCTTACCCGCGAATCTCTGACAAGACCAGTATAACCGGGTTTTCTAGTAACCCTCAATTAAATACTAGGTGGTGACTCCCAACGAATCCAACAAGATCAAATCAAACAATAGCAGAGAGAAAAAAGCGCCCAGCTGGACGCCGCGCGGATTTTTTTTGACGTGCAACAGTGTATAATGAAATGAGTACCAGAATCAAGAATCCAATCATCAATTGGACTTTGTACGATAAAAATCAAAGCATCTTGTACCTCATCTGTGGTAGCATTTGCAAAGTCAGCTTAATGTTTTTTTGGTTTTGTGCAACTGCTCATGTAATTACTAGGTTTGCCATAATTCCAATATTCAACCTGCTTTTTAGGTCCAAACTTGCTTTTACTTCTGTATCTTGATTTTGATCTGCCTCTAGATAAGCCTCTTTCTTGTATCCTCCCTCAAGTGTTGATGTTGAGAGCTAAACCTGAACTTGAACTTTCACCTAAGTCTTTTTTTCGTACTTTTTCAGCCAAAATCAAATATCGGATATCATCATATTTTAGTTTGGATTTTCCAACTGTGTTACTCATAGCTGTTCTCATACCTTCCTAACTACTTAGAAGTGAAGTTAGCAAAATGAGTGTACGAATCTTATTATTTGCTGAGGGCTTCTTATACATTATAGACAAGGTTTCCATTAATCTTGTAGTAGATTTTTCTTTTGTAACATTGTGAGTAACTCTTTTTGATAAGGATAATCGGATAATGCACAAAACCTATCTATCAAAAATTAGCCAATATTCTTCTTATATATTCTCTGGTTTACTCCCCAATAAAAGAAGATAAAGTTTCTTTCTATATAGATAGTTTTCAATTTATATTTTTCAATATCCAAAATCTATCCCATCAAACTTTTCAATTCCAGCAGCCTTTATTTCATTTGCCATTTTCACTAACTTTAAATTTAGAATTTGCTGAATTTGACTTCATAATTATGTCCGAAATGGCTAGAAACATTAGAAACGACTCTGAAATAACCTAAATCAGACTTTGGATGGCTCAGATCTGATCAATCAAACTTTTAAATCAATGGACAGTGCAAATGAAGTTGCATGTCAAGAAAAACAGTATCTCATTTGCACTGGATCAAAACCAAGATGCTAATATGGCTATGATGATGTGTCAGCCATATAAACAAATCGGGCCCACCTTTTATGATGTGGCACAATTGTGTGTAATTATTCCAGACGTGGCATGTGGATTGTTGGCTGGTCAAGTGACATAGCAGATGACTGTGTAGAATGGTTGATGTGGCTATTAACTGGTTGATGATGTTACTAATTAACCTGGTTCAGTTGTAGGTATTCAGGCGAAGAAAGAGCATGTGGAGTGTCTATATACGTGAGTAGTCCTCACGTCAATGCGTATGGGTACGTACGGGCATATAATATGTCAATTCTTTATCAGAGTTTCACCAGTGAATTTTTCTTATCATCCCCTACACTGTCGGTTCTTCACTAGGTTTTCACCAGTGGATTCGTCTCGTCTTCCTCTACACGATGGTTTGTTCAAAAACACGTTTTGAAAACTTTGATTTCTAGGTTTGGATCAAACACTCTTTTTTTCAAGAACAAGCTTTGATATCAGTTGTTGGGCAATTCCAGAAATTAAACACAGATAAATTTACGTGGTTTGACAACTTACTTACTTCATGGAGCTACTAGTTTGTATTAATCAATCAAAAAAACAATACAAATAATAAGGAGGAGAAAATACTCTTCTCTACTCAATTCACTCTCATTTAAGCTTTCTCTATCTTCTTCTCTTTATTCTCCCCAACACTTAATTCTTCATTAAGTGTGTGTATGTGTGTGTGTGTGTGTGTAAACACACTAAGTTGGAAGCAAATGCCATAAATCATGTCATGATTTATGCCATGATTTATGTCTTAAATTAAACGTCTATTTTATGCTAAGTGGGAGATTAGTTATTCCTACTAGTTCCCACTTAGCACATGGTAGAGGTGAGACATTATTTGTCTTCATTTTACTAACAAGTTAAGAAGACTTGTATATCTGTTTATATTCTACCATGGTTAAGAAAGTCATATGGCATGATGGTAATAACATCAAATTGGAAGTTTCTGAAATTTAACACAAGAGAGATTAAACACGAGAGATGGCTGCTCAATTGTTAAGAACAAAACCCATTGAGCTTTCTAATAAAAAGAAAATAAAGAACTCAACTATGGCTATTAGATCATGCTTGTCTTTCATTGGCCTACTAATTTTTTTTAAAAAAGAACATAAAAATAATTTTAAAATATTTTTTTATATAAATAATATCAAATATAAATCAAAAAAATTATACACATTTCTAATTAAAAATTTTCATTAACAATAATTATATATATATATATAAAATAGAGAAACAAATAAAAAACAAATATATTTTATTTTGCAAAATAGTTCATTCACTTAATATTTTTCAATAACTCTGTTTATTGAAATTATTTTTTATTTAATTAAATAATAGTAGAAATAGATATACACATAAAATTAATTGAATAAAATTAAAGAAAAAATATCTTATAAGGTTGCACTTGTTAGAAATACTATCCAATTAAATATTTTTTTATTTTTAAAAATAAATTTTAATTATATAAAACATAAAAGAATCATAAATAAATTATAATAATCTCTTCAAAAGTTAAGTACATACAAATTTTTTTATAAAAACAACCAATATTTAAAAAAATTAAATAAAAAAATAAAAAATCAAAGAGAAAGGAAATTAATTTTAATATAA